TGGGCGACAGCTAGTTTTTCTATAAAGTAAGAAAATAATTTATAGTTATTGTCGCCAATTTTGCAGTAACTACAACCAGTAATGCTTAAAATTTCTATTATTTATGGAAAAATATAAATAAATGATACTATTTTGTGTCTTTTAATTTACCTAAAAAAAGATCATCTATACGTATAAATAAAAATGAAGTGTCTGTTTGTAATATTGAAATAAACCTTTTTTATTACACGAACTCGTATATAAATATACTGCAATGGTCGATACACCAAAATAACATTTTTTAAAATGTTTGTCTGTCTTTTTGTTCCGGCTAATCTCTGAAATGGCTGAAATGATTTTGACGGGGCTTTTATTTACATGTAGCTGAAGTAATAGGGAGTAACTTACAGTACATTTATTTTGGAAAATATCTTTTATATTAGAAAAATAACACAACCAAATATAGTATTCCACGCGGACGAATTCGCAGGCACAGCTAGTTACAAATATAAAATCCAATCTAATCTTTATTAAATTAACTCGTTGGAAATGTGTAGTACTTGAACAAACGTCAACAAATATGTTTGTAGTACCTCTCGAAGTTACGCGCCGACGTCGAGTAGCGGAATAGGAATGGTGGAACTTTAGCTTCGATTTAAACGTTTTGTTTTCATTTCGAATTGAATTAATTCAATTTGATATCTTTCTGAAGTTCTTCTTATGTAAATTCCATATCGAGACGTAATGTAACATAGCCATTTAATTTAACAATAGTAATAACTAGCTGTCGCCCGCGAATTCGTCCGCAGAATTAAAAAAAATTGTAGCCTATGTGTTCTTCCAGTCTATGTTCTATCTACGCCAAATAACATCGAGATCTGTTAAGCTTTGCTAGAAGTACTTTCCAACGAACGTCCATCCATCCATTTAAACATTCGCATTTATAATATTAGTAAGATTTGTCATGATATAAATTTAAAAAGTGGTAGAAGCCGCAAATTCATCTGTTGCTCGAATTGGTCGACTCGACCAATGAAAAACTGAAAAACTACGACTACACAGAAGACAGGATTCAAGTGGAAGTAATTCTGGGTTTCGTCTGTTCAGTGTGTGTGTTTTCCTTTCCACCCATCAAACTGGTGGACATTTTGGTGGACTGCTGCTGCTGCTCTATGTTTGTTAGAAGGTATCTCTGGAACGGCTCAACGGATCTAGATAAAATTTGGCACCGATTTAGAATATAGTAAGGAAAAACATATAGCCTACTCATTTAGTTTTTTACTTAATTCCGAGCGGATGGAGTCGCAGGCGACAGCTAGTTAACGCATAAAAAGTCTAAGAATAACCTCAATTATTTTCAACTGTAATAAACTTCGTCCAACGAGCAACAGATTGTTCGCATGTTACCAAACGGTGTCACTTTTTAATTAAAATATGAAAAGGAAATGCCAACAAGTCTGCAGTCGACTGTCAGGAAATTAAATGAAAAGCTTTCATTTCCACAAATCCTAATTCCGTTCATATCAAAGATAATGAGAACTAAAATCAGATGTAAACTGAAAATTGGCTCAAAGTAAAATTTCACTGGTTGCGTCGGTGGCTCAGTGGTTAAGCACTTGACTTGCAATCTGCAGGTCCTGGGTTCGAGTCCCGCCACGTACCAATGTGTTTTTCGATTTCCGATTTACATATGTACATTTTTCCAACGTTCTTACGGTGAAGGGAAACATCGTGATGCAACCTGCACATATCTGAGAAGAAATTCAAAGATATGTGTGAAGTCAACCAACCCGCACTTGGCCAGCGTGGTTGACTATGGCCCAATCACCCTTAACTTAGGGTAGGCTCGGTGGGGACGTATAGTGAGCTGATGATGAAAATTTCACTGTATACAGACTTGTAATTTTCAACATATTCTCATAGTTAATTAAAAATAGCAAATGAAATATTTTATTTCATACAAATAAGCTATTGCGCTACGCTCGTGTGATTTAAAAACAGATTAAAATCATAGCATATTCAGAAAGCTGTATATCTGAGATCTTTTTCGACTCAAATGATTTATGTATTTCATTTCTAGATTCTCTATGTTAATTAATCAATGCATAAAAATCTTTGTATATTTGTTCTTGTTATCGCTAGACAGACATGCAGTAGCTATTTAAATTCGCCATAATAGCGAAGCGACATCATCCGCAATTAACGATGCTTTGCCTACCTTTAATCGACGGAGGAAGAGACGTCCTATACATCAAATATCTTGGCGTCTTTTACTTAAAAGAAATGATTGGAAAAACAAAGTTCTGTCTCCCTACAATTAGGCCTTCAGCTCGTACCCTCGCTAAACAAAACACGGAATAGTTTCCACTTGAAGCCTGCCTTCTTTGTGGCCGTGATATTGCTCTGGTCGAATATGCCCGTTCTTGCAACAGATTTTTTTGCTAGCGTCTACTACTGTTAACTCATAAAACAACAACATAACACACACCCATAACCCAGAGAGGTAGGCAGAGACCATGGACCACCATTTTGCGCGGTTCTGACACACCTCTGGGTTGTTCTAAATTCGTACATCTACACATTGGTTTCGGGTGCTGTTAAAACCGCCAGCCGTAAAATATATATAAGTAACGAATATTTAAGATATTAAAGGTCGGAACATACGAGTAGATTAAACTGATATATAAACACGGCTAAACACTCACGCTTATTCGTCCGGTGCCGGCACCGACTAGTTTCGAGCCCATCGGGGGCCCTTCATCAGGATGAGTGGTACTGGTATTATTTCGCGGACGCGGCCCGTCGCTCATTCTATCAGTTTAGTATAATGTCTCACGATAGTTTGAATAATTTACGAGTAGATTGATGAAACTTTAATATTTTAAAAGCTCCGACTAGCTACATATAGCACGGAACGTCTGTTAATTACAACTGAATTAGTAAAAACTTTAAATAGAACTTTCGCGAGCGTAGTTCTAGCCGTTCCTCGTAATATGTTATTTAGTGTTAATTTTCAAGTATTCATTACGTTATTTAGGTGCATATTACTACTTTTAATATCAGTTTACAGACGAGGAAGTTTATTTACTACCCATCAATAACTAATCGCAATGTAATTAGGAAAACTTGACATAGTAACATATACATAGAAATATAGCTTTTATTATATTCTGTATGATACTCCATCCTTAGTGGGTAGGAAATTTAATTCTTTGACTGCATTCGATTACGTGTTAGTATAACAATTAAGCAATGTCAACACAAATAAACGTAATTAATCAAAGGTCAATGTTTGTCACAGGTTGACTTACAATAGCGATGCGACCATAATGCATAAACATATCCAGCTAATTACAAACGTATATTTCACTGCCCAAATAACTTTTTAACGTGAAAAAGGGGTTGAAAAGGTGAAAAATTAAAATGCTACGCAAAGACAGTATTTCACGCGGACGTAGTCGCAGGCATTGCTAATATTGCAATAAATTGCTGGCGTCTGTTTCAATCCATAGAGTACCTTCAAGAGTAGAGTGAATAGACGCTTGTTTATTTATTTCTTAAATAGAAATAATTATATTTTATAATAATAACGCATTGTAAATAGCCACGGGAATATCAATAAAGCTATCAATAGCAGGCAATTTAAAGTTCCGCAACCGACGCCATGTCACAAGTTTGAAGTATAGTTAGAGTTATACTGCAAGCATGTACCACGTTTAAAGTTTTTTAATTAGCTACTTATGTCTTTCGAAGGAATTATATCTTACTGCATAATTGTAACGGTTTATAACCGTTGACACTTAGAAAAATATATTAACATCTCTTTTATACTCTTTGGAAAGAGATAGATATCATTTTCAAGGTTAAATCTTAAGATTTTGAATACACATTATGTGGTCATCGTCAGCTCACTATACGTCCCCATCGAGGGGCTCTGAGCCTACCCTAAGTTAAGGGTGATTAGGCCATAGTCAACCACGCTGGCCCAGTGCGGGTTGGTTGACTTCACACATATATATAGATATGTGCAGGTTGCATCACGATGTTTTCCTTCACCGTAAGAACGTCGGATAAATGTACATAAGTAAATCGGAAATCGAAAAACACATTGGTACATACCGGAATTCGAACCCAGGACCAGCAGATTGCAAGTCAAGTGCTTGACCCCTGAACCACCGACGCTCTTGACACTTACAAAAACATATTAACATCTCTTACATACACTATGGAAAGAGAGAGATAGCATTTTAAAGTTAAAACTCAAGACTAAATACAAATTATGTATACTTGGTATGAACTAATGTAACTAATATTTGCCCGTGACTTCGTTGATGCGGAATAAATTAATAGTAGGTAAAGTTATTATCACATACATAAGCTACCTTCCAGTAAAAATCCCGAAAAAATAGGGCTAGCCGTTTTAAAGATTTCCAAAAACATATTAAACTGAAAAAAAAATTGGCGAAAATTAAAATAATTAATTTTCGTTATAAGCTACCTAAATATACATGTTTTTTTTCATATTACATACAGACACATCAATTTTATTTACTGTATAGTGTAACTATGTATTTATTTTAACTTCTGAAAGATGGCAGTCACAAATAAGTTATGTACAAGATATAAATTTTATTATATTATATTTACCAGTAATGTACCACATCATAAATATTCAAATATAGTCTTTAGTTTTATTGTCAATTTACCAAATAAGACCAAATAGACTACAATCCGTTGTTTTCCGAGACAATTCTGTGTATATATATTGTCATCCCTGTCATTACCTTTGACAAAACAGAGATAACAATATGTGTTAAAGGAGGATTTAGGCCTTAGAAATGTTTATTGCATTATTAAAAGCATACAGTTTTACAATTATAACTCTTAAGTATTATTTTAGCTGAAGACGAGTTGGAAGGAAAAGTCGTCGCTGAGAAATATCAGGGAATGGACCAATATTGCCAGCGTTGAACAAGTTTTTCGCCAACAGGACAGGAAATTCTCTGAGCTGACGGCCAACCTCCAGTAATGGAAAGGCATTAGAAGAAGTATTATTACTTAAGTATTATTTTCAACAACACATAAATTATTACATGAAGATGGTTTATTTACTCTTAACACTTTGCCTTGCATCTCCCTTGGTATCCCATGTCTTTGGGTTAAATGCCTTCTCAGTGTTTCTGACTTAGCGTATGTAACACCGCATTTGTTACATAAATAAACATATAACCTATTATGTACATTATTAGCATGTGCCAACATAGCAGTACGTTGATAGAATTTCCGTGGACATTGTGTGCATTGTACTTTCTTTTCATTATGATAAATAACATGTTTCTTCCATATACCACGTCTACGGAACGTTAATCCACACTTATCACATGTATATGGTCTCTCACCGGTGTGAATTCTAATATGTTCGATCAAATCAAACTTTCTAGGTGCTTTGAAAGGACAATGTTGACATTGTAAGTAAGGACCAGTACCGTGAACTGATACTCTATGTATGTTTAATTCTGCACATACTGGGAATCCTTTACCGCAATGTTCGCAGATGTAATCACAACCAGTGTGGCGTTGCATGTGATGTTTGTATGTCAAAGGGTTAGCTAATATTCTGTTACACAATTTACAATGTAATGTTTGTTCATTTGACTTTTTATTAACTGGCTGATTATACTTTACTACTTTTCGTTTTAATTTCTTTTTCTTTGGCTTAAAATCATCCTGTATTATTTCATCTTTTGTTGTAAACATGTTTTCAATTGTATCAAGTAAATCATCATCTTTGTTATTGCCATCCTCAATACTTAGGTCAATATTAGTTATATCATCCTGTGTTTTATTTTGTTTATTTAATTTAATATTGCCAGCATTCAATACTGGTTTGCTTTGAAACTTTTGGCTTTTAGGCTTATTTTCTTGATTAGTTTTACTTTCAAATTCATTAGGAAAATAAAATTTATACATCCAATGTTGAACAACTGTTTCCTTCAAACTATCTAAAGATTTACTCATTCTTTTTAACTTTTTCAATTGATTATCCGTTGATTCACATTTCTTTTTGAAGATGATAGCTTGTTTTAATAGAAATAAACACATTGAGCACATTTTTCTTGGTAAATCATCATTGTCTATTGTCATATTTGTGAATAACATTACAGCTTTTGCATAAGGACTTAAGTTATTTGAAGCATCAATTAAATTCACCATATTGTCACTTTTACTGTACGAAAAACAAAGACGACATATATTTTCGTACAATTCATCATAACTATAAGACATTTTGATACGTAAAGTTATAATTATACATCAAAATAGGAAAAAACCGATAATCTGTTATTTGTTTCGATTTGACATGACATTGACACTTCGTGGCATATGTCAAATATGTAAAAGGCTAAAGTCGCGCGTTCCGTTTCATCAAAATTATTATCAGGAAAAGGCCGCTATATCACAATTCGTTCTTTTATTTTTTAACAATAATTGGATAAATTGTAAAAAGTGGACAACGCATACTTAATAATTGTTAACATTTATGGAATACATTTTTTGTTAAATATTAACCAAATAATATTATTTTAAAATAAATACTTGAATTACAACAATTATTCAATTTATTTCCAGATGAAAGGCATATTAATAAATTATTTATTGAACTGATACATTGCTGCGATAGAAACTATAAACAGCAGAATTCCTGTAAGTTGTAAACACCGGCAAACAGCAATAACTTTGAACTTAAGACAAGGTTTATTGCAGTTCAAAGAGTTTTAATTGCTTCCTAGTTTTAAACGGGAACAGGTCCCTATCATCGGATACGATATTTTTAATATTTATATATACCAAGATACCTATAATACAATTAAGATTACATGGATGGATGGATGGATGTTTATTAGAAGATATCTCTAGAACGAATAAACGGATCGCGATGAAATTAGGCATACATTTAGAACATAGTCCGAAAGAAAACATAGGCAACTAATTATGTTTTTTTTTTTAAATTCCGCGTGGACGGCGTCGCGGGCGACAGGTAGTATTATAAAAATACGAATGTTACGACGGATGTTTGTTAGATGACGGCTGCATGGATTTCGCTGAAATTTGGCACACATGTAGAACATAGTCTGGAAGAACACATAGGCTACTAATTAAGTATTTTTTAAATTCCGCGCTGATGTAGTACTATAATAATAAAAGTATAACTTTAACTTCATACGTGATATCCTTTAGGCAATTTATAACAAACAATTTGCCAGTTAATTTAAAAATCTTTAAATATATTAATCATAGGAGCTGTTGATTTATTTTGTTAATTAACGCAGTTTTCTGTGAGATTTATGTAAATTATTAATTAAAAGTGAATTGTACTATTTAATTTTTGAAATGTGTAAATAAATAATAAACAGAGTTCCTTTATATGTGATGCATAAATCTTTTTAATTGCCATTATATGAAAATATATTTATCTTACTAATATTATAAATGTGAATGTTTACATGGATGGATCTTTCTTTGAAGATATCTCCGGAGCGACTCAAACTTAAGCGACCTTAACTAACTGTGCCCGCGACATTGTCCGCGTGAAATACTGTCTGTTTGTCTTATAGTTCTAAAATAAAAGATTTTTTCTAAAATAAACGAAGCCTATGTTACTCCTTATTACATCATCTACCTGCTAATAAAAGTCCCGACAAAATTACTCTAGCCATTTCAGAGATTAACTCTTGGACAGACAGACAGACAAAAATTGTAAAAAATGTTGTTTTGATGTATGTATGTACCGTACATGTTCATTTATTATAGTAAAAAACGGTGATTACAATATTAAAAACAGACACTTCAATTTTGTTTATATGTATAGATTTAGCGCGGGTGAAGTCGCGGGTGAAGGCGCGGGCGAAGAAGCGGGCGAAGTAGCGGGCGAAGTCGCGGGTGAAGGCGCGGGCGAAGTAGCGGGCGAAGGCGCGGGTGAAGGGGCGGGCGAAGGCGACAGTTAGTGCCAATAATATTCAAAGTTACATTCCTAGATGAATTAAGTTGACTTTTACGAATTAAATATTTAATTATTATTTACTTAATTCAGTTATTTAAATAAATGTAAATAGATCAAAGGTTAACATCTTTTGTTTTTGCGAACTTCGATTGTTTTATTATTTTCAAAGGAACGCTAAAAGGGTTCCTTGAATAAATATTATTAAACTTTTAAAACAATAATAACTGGACTGGATATAACTAAGTTAATTAGAATTTTAGATGAGGAATAAAGTTGTTAATACTAATTTTAGTATATAATTTTATTACTAGAAGAGAAGAAAGGGCGATGAACTAATGATAAAATTGTTATTCCTCGCGAATATGCCAATTTTACTGTGAAAAAATCTCTATAACAGTAACATTTCCACTGGCGCTGCTGTTAACGGCAATTGCGCGGCTAGTCGTTTAGTCGAAATGGGATTTTATGAATATTTTTCCTAATAACTTTTTAAAGCATTGTGCCGAGCTGTATTTGAATGCTAAGAGATAAGTAACCGCAGTTACGAATGTCGGTAATGGACCAAGATACCTTGTTAGTATAGAATTTAAAATTCTCTCAGCGTCTTACATAAACGGCGTTGTAATAATAACAATTTACTTAGCAGCACGAGCTCTGCGGGCATTAAATGTGTACAAAAATTACTTGAGAAAAAATCTTGATTATCTATTAAGGCTTTTTATAAGACTTTCTCTAGTAAATTTAAACGTTTTATAAGTCGATGAAGATCAGCTGCATGTATGAAAACACATCACTTATTGTCACGTTCCACTTGAGCCAAGCATTCAAGCGAGTACGCGGAGAAAGCTAGAGCTACAAGCAAGCGAGAGCATGGAACAAGCGAGAGCGTGGAACAAGCGAGCATGAGCGCGGAGCAAGCGAGAGTTAGAAGCAACTGAGAGCGTGGAACAAACAAGAACGTGGAACAAGCGAGAACTCGGAACAACCGAGTACGCGGATGGAGAAGCATGATCAGCCTAAGCGTATCATATAAAATTATCTAATCTTACTAATATTATAAATACGAAAGAATAGATGGATGGTTGTTACTACGTTCTTCAAGAACAGCTAAAAATCTTAGCTTGAGGAACATGTTTCAATACTTGTGCATAAATTGCGAAATATACAATACACAGAATGGAACTTATGGAAAAATCAATCAAGATATATCGTTCCAATTCAACAATAGACATAAGATTTCTGGTCACGAAGACAAGGAAAGTAGGAAGCTTCTAACAATTTTATGACTCGACTTAAAATACAAAGCCAAAAAGTACAACTTTGGTTCAACTTAACTTGAACTAAGAGCCCAACTAAGTTGTTTTACGGCTCACGAGACTTGGTTCGATAGGATTTTCTTTTACTTTCTTTGTTAAGGGATACATTTATTGTTACAGAGGTTAGAAAGTTAATGCAAACTGAAATTAACTTGCTCTAAAGTGTATTTTACAATAAATATTATATAAATCTTGACATTATAAATCGAATTGATTTTGTATAATAATTCCTTAATAAATAATAATGGATTTTGTAATAAAAAGATGACGACAAATAACACAAAAACATGTATATCTTACAAAATGGCCAAAACAGATCACATATAGACCGACAAAGATATCTGAACCGATGAACATTAGTCAAACTAAAATATAGCTCACTAGCGCCCTCATGTCAATGTCAAAAAGGTGTCAGAAGGCCTTTTTCGGACTGTACCTGTCAAGTAATTTTTTTTCTTTTATACCATTTTCTATGCCTACGTAGGTTTTATATATTTTCTGACAGAATTAAGGCCGATGGTGCTGCTTATCGGGCCAGAAATATCTTTGTTTGATTATACCACATTTGAAACTACGACTCCGACTTAGGGTCCTTCAAGAAGCGAGCGTATCACCATCTCAAAGGCCGGCAACGCATCTGCGGTTCCTCTGGTATTGCTGATGTCCATGGGCGTCGTTGAACACCTCGGTGTTCTCGCTGCTCGTTTGCCCACTTCTGTTATAAAAAAATACGTTCATGGTGTGAAATTTCTAATTCATTATTGACATGTTTTTCTTCGCATGAGAAACTATATTCTGATCTATTTTGACGGTATATAACAGTAGTATAGCTCTAGAATATTAACATTTTACGCCTCTTGTGTTTATTTTCCTTGGAATTTCTCGCCTCATAATAGGATTCAATTAACAGATGACGCGCTTAAGTTAATGTGGTCTAACATTTAGTTAACTATTATGAGGTTCTTGTAATTTCATTTACGTGCTGTAAGTCCAAAAAAGGTTCCCTTTTATAATCAAAGAATTGTAACATCGTTCTACAGAACATCAATTGACTGAGCTCCAAAGATAATTTCGATTATAAAGGTACGCGTCCATTGTCCAGACGCACCGTACATACGACTCGCAACAGAATTTAGTTTGCTTTGTATGATTTTAAATCTGTTCAATGCGTGCGTGCGGATCGTCCGGAATCCAATGAACAGGTACCTTAAAGATATGAAATTTACAAACTCAAAAATTTTGTATGAAAGTTAGGCGTAGCATTATTGTTAAAGTGGTGTAACATAGCTACTAATAAGTGGGTGAGATTCCATTGCCTTTTGGCATAAAAAACCTATTGTTGTCACAGTTATTTCTGAAAGAATGAGAGGGATAGAAATAAGTTTTTATCAAGGTAGTATCAAGAGACAGAACTTTAGTATGTTGTATACATACATGTATGAATTCTACTAGTTTATTTGGATTGGTTGCATTTATTTTTAAAACTATTTGACCTTTATTGATTACGTGTGTGTTCCATCTGTTACATTTGACCTATTTATGTAAGTTTAGTTAAATTTTAGTGCTCGTAAAACTAAAAGCTTTTCCCCTGATACGATAGAATGAATTTTCGATGATTTTTAAATTTATGCTATAATATTGTACAAAAATATTTAAAACACATTGCTTTATTAAATAATAAAATACACTTAATAAAAGAGATTTTAGTAATTGGAATTTATTCACCAACTTGACACGAATCAGTGATCTTGAAGAGTAAAGTTTTGGAAAAGATCGTTTAGAAAGTCCAATGAACCTAGTAGGAATATTTATATAACAATCGCCTCCGTATCTTCATTGACAATTATGACAATACTAGCTGTCGCCCGAGACTCCGTCAGTGCGGAATAAAAGAGAAACTTAATAAGTAGATTATGTGTTCTTCCAGACTATGTTCTACATCCATTCAAAATTTCATTTTGAACCGTTAAGCCGTTTTGGAACTACTTTCAAACAAACATCCTTCTAAACATCTCTATATATATAAAGA